TCCTACCCAATAGAAATGCTACAATATAACTTGCCAGGATTCTAGTATAATTTCCTCGCAAAAAGAAAAAAAAGAAGTCCTCATGCTATCCACTTGTCGATCAGTTTGACTGTATGTGCCGTTCCCGTAAAGCAGTTGTGGCTTAGGCTGTGTTTAGTTCCTGAAAAAGGTTAAAAGTTTGAGAAAAGTTACTAGTTTGAAAAAGAAAGTTGGGGGTTTATATGTGTAGCAAAGTTTTGGATGTGATGTGATGTGATGGAAAGTTGAAAAGTTAAGGGTTAACTAAACACGGCCTTAATCCGGCAACCAATTAATAACACGCGTGAATGTCGTAGTACGGTACATAGATGCTGTGGTCGATCGAGAATCACATCTTGTCGATGTCGCCGTTGGACAGGGGCACAGCCCTGATGGGCCTGAATGCCCCCCTGATTCAATGCTTCATCGTAGCCACGTCTCAGGGTGAACAGGGTACGTATGCACATTGACGTAGGTCCAGCCTGTGGATCGGCAATGCTTCATCGTCGTCAGAGTTCAATCGGCCAGGCAGCCAGAGGCAGGGGAACGTGGTGTCGCGCGGCTCGTCCGTCTCCGGTCTCCGCGCCTATGTTGTCCGGCGTTCGGGGGAGGAGTAGGGTCGCCGCCACGTTCATCTTGTTGTTAGTTTCCTCATCTCGATCAGTCGATCGCGGCTGCGATTCTACCGATCGATGTCAAATTGTCAATCATGGTGCATTGCGGTGCAGTGCATCGCGCGTCCGCGTCAGGATTCTGCAGTGCTGGGTCCGCAGCAGAGATACGCTCCGGCGGCCGGTGCTCGATCGGTCGGCTCCCTAACCCACCACCGCGTCCTACTATGGCTACAGAATGCAATGTCCGTTGTTTGTTTGCTGCTTCCATGTCAAATGCAGTACGCGGTGCAGGAAGAAACGGACAGCAAAAACCGTCGATCGATGGAAGAAGGCTACTTGTGTTTGGAAACTCCCAACACCATGATCGATCGCCGAGCAGCGAGAGATTGCAATTGAAATTGACCGACCGATCGGTATTCGGTCAGGTTCGTTCGGTGAGGCCAAATTAAAAGCGGACGTACATGGGACTGCGGGGCGGCAACACTCGTATCATATATATGCCGCTTTCCACGTACGCTTTCGAGGAATAGCGACGGCACGACGGGCTGCTGCTGCCGCTGCGTTTCTCTGTACGTGCCCATACTCCCTCCGTCAAAAAAAAACAAACCCTGATTTCCGTGTCTAACATTTAACCGTCCGTCTTATTTAAAAAAATTAAAAAGATAAGTCACGCATAAAATATTAATCATGTTTTATCATCTAACAACAATGAAAATACGAATTATAAAAAAAATTATATAAGACGGACAGTCAAAGTTGGACACGAAAACTCAATATTTGTCTTTTTTTTTTTTGGGACGGAGGACGAATGTTGTATCGGTCGGTCGGCTGGTCTGACATTTCTTTCTCATCTCACAAAGTCAAGAGTCTCAGGTCATCCTCCTGCGTCAGGGAGCGTCCTCCCCCGATTGTTGTGTAGCCAACTGCATTTGTACACATCGATCGATATCCTAGCATCTGCCGAGCTGCAGCCATGCAATCGTCAACATCACTGATCTTATTATGATACTAGTATTATCTATCCCTAAGCTAGCGGTGTGTGCGACATCATCGTCCATTATCTGACCAGGTTGGCATGCAGGTTCCCATTTCCAAACCATCTTACCGTCTGTTACTAGATTTTACTACCAGACAGAATTTTTTTTCCTTTGAAAAATAGTAGATTTACAGTTTGTGCCCAGAATGTTTTGTTAGCATGGTAAAAGAGATAGGAGTACCAGTGAGCAGCAAGCAGGTC